GGGGGTTTTTTTTTCGCAGTATGTAGTTGTACTGTACATGTAGGATACTGTAAAGTAAAGTAAAGTAAAGTAAAGTAAGGCTCTTGGGTTGTTTTGCTATAGTCTAATAGCCGAAGCGACCGACCGACGGATCACATAATAATATAATATCATACCAATCGAAATAACAAAGTTATGATAAATTCCAACCTATTTTTCATCTACATATTTTTCCCCGCCTCAGCGAATATCTAACTAAATAGACCAAGGCTAGACCTTCCCCCTTCCTCCCCGCCCCCATCTTGAGGTTGAATCCATCCATCCATTCATCCATCCATGGCTAGCCTAGTAACGAACGGCAACCCACAACACTGGTAGCGGTTACGAGTACAGTACCTGTACTGTACTAGTACGATGAGCGAGCGGTGAACTCTCTCTCTCTCTCGAGTTGCGGCGTATGGTACTGTACTCGTACATCGTCACGAACACCGACAAAGAGAAACCCTACCGGTACTCACCGTGAGGGGAAGGAACTCATTTCGACTTCCCCTCCCTCGGGACGTACAGTACAGTACTACGAGTACGATCATAACATACGTGTAACTCGGCCGGCATACGGGAGGTGGGGGGGGGGAAACAAAAAAAATAAAATAAAAAAAAATAAAATAAAAAAAAATAAAAAAAAACAACGCAACAGCAAAAAAGCACAAAGTACAAAATCACGTGATTGCATGTGACGTGAATTTCTGCGCATTGATAATGTACGGTAATCATTCTTCTGGTTTTTTTATCTATCGGTATTAGTAATTTATTATGTGACGATCGGAAAGAGAAAGAGGGACATGAGGCTAAAGTGCGGATGAATGAATGAATGATGTGGGTGTGTGGGTGTTGTGTGACATTTGATTTATTTTATCATACTTTTTGACACGTGCTAGATTGTGATATTGGGAAAGGGAAAGAAAAATAAAAAAAAAATGTGGGAATCACATGTGATGGCAAGTTGGTTGGCATGTGGGTTGGGTTATTGGTTGGGGGGGGGGGGGGGAGTGTTGGGCCGGGGGTTTCGGGGCGTGAATTGGGGCATGTGCTGATGGATGATGGATGGGCGTTTTCTCTCTTTTGAGAGGATTGAGTGCCAGTGCTGTACGGGTACTGTACATGTACGATACTGTACTGTGCTCGTACCATGCTTTAAGTTATGTGATAATGCGAGAGAGGAGGCGGAGTATGGGGAGGTATCATGGGAAGGAGGAAAGAGGATGAAGGAGGAGGGAAGGAGGAGAGGAAGGGGGTTGATCGGTTTGATCGACTGTGGGAATGGCCTTTTCTTGGTTCTTGCTTGATGGATTGCTTCTTGCCCTAGTCTACCGGTACCGGTAGACTATTCCTCTCTTTCTTCTGTCACCCTTCTTCATCACTGGGAGGGGAAAGGAACTTGCAACCCTCTCTCAACCGCCCTCCCTTTCCTTTGATGCACTCCGCTTTCTTCTGCATTCAACACCTTCCATCATCCCCCCCCCTCTCTCTCCCCGCCTGCCCGCCCGCACCCCACTCCCTGACCCCAACCATCACCACCCTCAGCATCACTACTCCCCCCCTCACCAGTACCATTGATTCCATCGTGCCTTGTTGCAATACGGGCACTCTTCTAGGCCCTGCACGAACCTTATCTTTGTCAGCGATTGATGGATGACTGAGTGATTGTCCATACCCTTTTGCTTTTTCCTCTCACTTTTTTCTCTCTGCTGCCTTCCCTCTGGCACACTGTGGAGCTGGCCGGGAGAGTGGTGCCTAAAAGCTCGGTTTGTGTAAAAATAATTTGGGATAAAAAAAAGGAATACCGACGACTGAGCGAAGGCAGTACCGTACCGTACACGTACCCTACGGTGCCCTTGTGTGAGTGAGCATCGAGCAGTTAGTATTCATAGGAGGAGGGCGAAACAAATAGAGAAATTCCTTTATCTGAACGCGGCTCGTACGGTAGCCTCTTCCCCTCCCTCTTTCACTACTTTTCCTCTTTCTCTCTCACTTGGAGCAGGGCAAACTTACCCTTACCTTACCCGACTGACCTCACCTTACCTCACCCTCGCCCATTCCGCTTTTTGATTATTCCCGTTTCTTTACCACCAACCCCACGGATCGGAGGGGATTTATCATATTCTCTTTCTCTCTCTGGTCTTTTTTTTTTTTTTTTTTTTTTTTTTTCCTTCCTTTTTTTTCCTTTTTCCCTTTCTTCCGTTTTTTTCCCCTTGTGTTAGTGGTTTCTTCTTCCTTGGTCTGAATCAAATAACGTGAAAAATAGAGTGGGAGAAAGAAGGAAGGAAAGGATAGGATAGGGGGGGGAGGAAATCGAGAAACAAGAGGATTCAACAATGGCTACAAGGACTCGCTTCAAATCTTCTTCTCCTGCACCTTCGTCCTTATCGGCCCCGACAACCATGACGTTGGACTCCGTCGCAGCAGCAGGAACTCCTCACCCACAGCAGACGACCTCGAAAACCACGACCACGACAACAGCTTTACCCCCATCGAACTTTCAGCAGCAGTTCCCGCCGCAGGCGCAGATTCACCATCACCCATACCCAAATGCCGGTCACCTTCACCATCACCATGCCCACCCCCGAGGACCCCCACCCCGTCTCGATGACTATGTCGCAGCAAAGATCGCCCCGGAGGATCCAACCAGGCGATTCTCGTCGACGCCCGATAACACACCACTCGCAATACTGAATTTTCACAATGCGGTTCCCCGGAATTATGGGAGCCATTCGGTGCCTTCCTCTGGCCCTGTTCCTGTTGTGTTACCCCCCGTAGGGGGTGCAGGAGGGGGAGGGGGAGCGAATGGTGTAGGGAGTGTTGGCCATGTTCTCGGACAACCGCCCGCATCTTCGTACGGGGCTCACCATGCACCCCATGAAGAGGAGGACGTGGTTCCGCAGTATAGGTACCGGAAGAACGAGAACTCGTATCATCATCGGTATGCGCCCACCGAGAAATCGAGATCGTTATCCATTCAGTCTTTGATATCTTCACCGGAATTGACCCCCCCAACATCATATTCGAATAATGATGGGCAATCGGGCACACGGAAAAGAAAGGGTAGTGACGGGGATGTCGGGGGTTCGCATGGGACTCGCAGCGGTAGCATTGTCTCCACGACTGTTACCATGGATGATCCGGAGGTTAGAGAGGTGGTCGAGGCTTTAGGCGGACTGAAGGGTGGTGAGCACACACCGGAATAACTCTCGTCCCTTTCCTGATTTTTTTCTTTTTCTTTTCCCAATTGGCCCCATTTCTTGGAATGAAAAAAAATGAAAAATTTAAAGACAAGAAAAAAAAACAAATTAGAAATAAATAACTAAATAGAAAGGGTTTTCTGAGTAAATCGGTTTGGTTTCTTTTTACTAAACTCTTTCACATGGTATTAGACTTCACTGCGACATCGCCTACCACCGCCAATCATCAGCTTCCCCCACACCAACGTAATCCATCCGGAGTTGCCGAGAAACAGCAGCCACAGCATCAGCATCAGCAGCAGCAACCAGAACACGAACCACTCATTAATCTTATTACCTCTTCCGCACAGCGGGCTCACCCATTGATCTCCTCTGTGATCACTACGGGTCTCTCCGCTTACGGTGCTTCCAAGTCATACTCCCCCTCCTTCCGTTACGCCGCCGAGTCAGTGGAGAGCCGAGTTGGGGTGCCAGTTGGAAACGTGGTATCGGCAGTTGGACGGCAAACCGGATTGGACAGTGCACTAAGGAGGGGTTTGGGAGGGAACCGGAGGGCCAGCTCGGGCGGGGAACAGCGTGCGGATACAAAGAAGAGGAAAACGAGCAATAAGAACGGAGATTTGCAGAAGGGCGAGGAAAGTTTTAAGATCTTGGCTCAGCAGCGGAAGCAACAGCAACAGCAGAATACGTTAGCCAGGATGAATGGTGGAAGTGATCGGGCTCTTGACGAGGGCGCGAGTGATAGGCAGATTGCGGCTCCGAACCAGACCTGGCCCACTCGGGTGGTGCTTAGTACATATGGGTTTGGCGCGGCGTTGAATGAAGAGAGCCTGAAGAATCTGAAATACTGCTTGGACTGGCTTCGCTTCTTGAATGCGCACTTGGGGAAGCTAGTTTCTGCGTTAAAAGGCGTTGTTGAAGAATTGGACGATCATCGACGGTCCCAAATGGATGAGGACAGGCATGCCAACGGTGGGATAGCTCGAGCTCTCCCCACCTCGTACGAGAACTCGCGAGCCGTCCTTGCAGCAAAGGTTGAGAGTCTGAAGGGCGATGTAGTCGCCACGATGAAGAAAGTGGTGGAGGTAGTGAGCAACTACACTGGGAGTGCTCTACCGGAGAATGCCCGAGAGTTGATTAAACGTGCTCCCCTCCCCCTTTTACTTTTCCCACTGCCCTTTATTATCAGCGATTAACTTGTTTATATAGGTCATATATTTGCCCTTCCACAACGTTTCCAAGCCGCCAATGCCTCGGAACTCGCCGAGAAGGAGAAAGATGGTCCCATGTCTTCCGCTAGCAGAGCGCTAGTTTTGGCGAAGGAGGGTCTCGACATGATGCAGCAGGTTAGCGCTGTTGTCGAGGGGACCATTGATCGAGCGGAGGAGTGGTGCGAGAGGTTGGGGAGGAAGAAGAGGGAGGATGATGGACAGAGTGGTGGGGAAGAGAAGAAGGTCGAATGGGCGGAGGGGGGGAGAGACGGGGACGAAGATGTCAAGATGGAAAAGCCTCGAGGTTGACATCCGTGGAGGTGCCTCGGCTCACTCTTTCTTCACCTTTCCTTTTTGTTTGTTTGGAAGTATATATTTTGTGAGGTCGGGGTTTCCTTTTGATTTACGCTGCCTTTACAATGGCTTGCACGTTGGTAGGCTCCCTGGAGGTCACGTCGATTGGCTGACAGGAATTTGATACTGAATGTATGGCTGGAGGGGGATGCGGGGCGGATGGGATACTGGTAGGAATGGAGTATGTAGTGTGATTTTTTTTTCTTTTCACTTTTTCCCCCTTTATTTGCTTTGATGGCTTGTTTTGCTTGTTCATTTCGGAGACTGGTGGGCGTATCTGATTTTTATTCTTTACTTTGGTTGGGGGTGGTATAGGATGGGCAGCGTGGGGTCTATGCGGTGGGATTCGATATATAGGGGATCTTTTCTTTATTTTTTTTTGCTTGTTTTGTTGCGTGTGCACGTTCTATCCAAGACGGAAGAAAGAAGGAGCCTTTAAATATGATAAATAAGAAAGCTTGGGGTTTTTCTCTCGTTATAGTATTGGGATATTGGTGTGGGATTTGTTTGCTCTGATGTGGGCCACCGCAACGACTGGAGTCAACGCACGATACCGCTCCATCCGTACTTGGGACCCCACGCCCGAGCTGGATGGGGTGATAGCACCGCCACCGGAGGAAGAGACCGAGTGGCCGAAGTATCGTAGCCTTCGAGGGTCGGGGGGCAGAATACTCACTCAAAGGTCCTGAGACTCGGGAGCGAACGGGTAGGTGGCGTCCTTCGATGGCTAGAATAATTCCTTTGGACCCACTCGCTAACTAGCCCAAGTGAGTTTACCGTGCATTGGATTTGGGATCTGTACCAGCATTACTGTAGACCGTATGCACAAGGAGGACGGTAGTCAATAGAAGGGTCAAGCTATGCATTTCATACCCCACTCGCGATCGCTATCCCGACGTGGTGCAGTGCCGACAAGCACATCCGCCCTTATATTAAAATGCCCTTTCTACCACAGACCATGACAGTTGCTATCACAACGTGCTTCTTTAGTTGTACCATACTCTACTTGCCCTATCATAAATCGTTACTCCGGCGTTAGGAGTAAAATTCTGGACCCCTGGAGAACAGAGAAGTTGGACAGGACTCGGCAATTGCAACCGCAACATGGTCTACAGACGCGTTGATGGGGCTCGTTTTAACTGACGGGACAATCATTACTGTCTTGTGCTATCTCTTCCTCTAGAAGTCGTTGAATTCCGGTCGCCCATTGCCGTATTTAGTTAGAGGGGGCTCCTGGGCCCGCCGTGGGGGGGGGGCAGACGAGAAAGAAAGAGAGACTTTTTTCCTTTCAGACTTTTAATTTCTGCCCGCCTCTTCTCAATTTCCACTCAAAAGTACAGTATGATATCAGGAAAGGTTCATTTCACAACTACAGTACGGTATCACCCCCCCCCCCTACCCTTTTTTTTAACCTCCCCGATTGGGGTGGGGTGGGTTTGAGGGATGAACCACCGTTATCACGGGAATCACAGTACGAGGGGGGGGAAGAAAGTAATGCGACACCCGTGCAACACAAATTCCCGTACGGAAACAATATCAACAACATATAGTACTACCATTTTCCACAACCACATTCAATAAATAAAATAAGTAAAGGAGATAAAATTAAAAAATGCTTAGTATTTCCTTAAAGTAAAATAAAAAGAAAATCATAAATCAATAATGAGTTTGGTGCCCTTTTCTTCTAATAACCTCTCTGACCCGCTTTGGCGTACTTCTGCAAAGATCCATAAACCTTCCATCAGGAATAGCTTTCCATGCTTCCTCCACAGCTCTGATTAGCTCTTCCTTGCATGCAACTCTTCCATACCTTTTCCCCAAGTAAGTTTCCATATCTCCCCAAATATTTTCAATTAAGTTCAGGTCTGGTGACTGTGGTGGTCAGGGCAATATATCCACCCCATTCCTTTTTCTACACTTTGTAGAATATCTGTGATTAAACCAGTAGTTAGATTATATTCTTAAGTAAGTATTTCTATATCAAAAAACAGAAAATACAATAATTATAAGGAGGTAGAACCTACCCTTTATGCCCTGGTGCACCATCTTCAACAACCCTAGTCCAACCAAATCTCTCACAACACTCGTGCCAGAAAGGAATTAAAACTGGATTCAGAATATACTTAGTATACTCATAAGAATCCACTTTAACCTTTCCTGGTACTACCACTAGCTTTGACCTCAAATCCCCACAAAAGGCTCTCCATACCATAACTGTCTCCCTTCCTGACTCCCAGACCTCATCAATGCAATCCTGATCATATTCCTCAGAAGGTTCTCTTATCACCCATCCTCTCTGCCCAAATCCAACTGTAGAGAATGAGGTTTCATCAGTCCATATGATTCTGGACCAATCTCTTAGTTTCCAAGCTCTTTTTCTCATACACCAATCAAATCTAATTGGTATATTTTTAGGGCGCGATCCCCATCTAAAATATCTTTTAGTTATGTAAACACTTAAATCTTCATTAAAGTACTTACTTCTTGCATGGTTTTCTTTTATTTAAATTAAGACTCTTAGCTGCCCTGCTAATTGTCCTGGATAATGCCTTTAATCCCTTCTCTTCTTTAATATCCTCACAAGAGAGTCTTCTATTTCTTTTATTTTCTTTAATAAAAGACTTTAGATCAAGTAGATCAGACTCCTGGAAGATTGGAGGTCTTCCTGTTCGCTGGTAGTTGGAAGGACTACCTGTTTCCCGATACCGTTGATAGATGCGAGCACAGGTACTATAGTGAACTTTAAGGCCAATTTTTTCCTCCAATTCGGCAGCTATCTTTCTGAAAGACCACTCCGCCATTTCTCGGAGAGCAATAATATGGATCCGGTCATCACGTGTGGTTTTCCGCTCAAAGCGCTGTCACTTCTTCGTCAACGATCGCCGCTGCTCAAGATTTTGTGGACTAATCTCTAAATCATTTAATTGTATTATTATTTCAACTTTATGTACATATTCATTTAATTAAACTACTTATGCTCACTTCTGCGGGTTCCCTTTACCCTCATAGTGCTTTTCTGAAATGGTTTGGCAGGTGGTGGGGGATATAGTGAGTATTGTAGTGATGGGGGTTGGGAGTAGAGTTGCGATCTTGTGGGAAGCGGTTGCTACTGTGTCGCACTACTTCTTTCCCCCCCCTCGTACAGCGCAGTACAGTACGTTCCAGATTGCCGAATCGAGCTGCTGCTGCCATCATGTATGATGCTATATTATAGCATGTACGATGCCCGCGTAAGAAGGTCCAACCCGGAAGGAGAGGGGGGATAACGGTAGCTTGTCTTGCTATATATCGTACTGTACATTACCGTAATATATTGTATGTCGGTGAGGAGTTTTTCTTCTTCTTTCGTATGATAAGAGATTGGAAAGTATGATATCTTATAAGAAAAACTCCACACCCGTGGGGTAAATAAAAAAAAAAAGCTTGTTTTTTCTGTTTGTATTTCTCCTTTGGGTGATTGAAGATTGATTTCGGTGAATCTTGTTTTTCATAACCATGATATACTTATCGTCCTATCATACTTTAGTGGGGGAAAAAAAACGTTGGTCGATGTGATGTGATGTGATGTGTTGTGTTGTGATGTGTGATGTCGGGACATCTAATTATCTTTTTTTTTATTGTTCGGGGGTGGGGAGTGAGTTCATCTGAGGAAGGAAGGGATACTAAGATACTGTACTGCAGATGAGCTGGATAATACTCGTACTGTAACTTGACACTTCAGGCAGAGCGATAACTGTTAGTCTAGACTACTCGCGCGTTTGTTTGTGTGGATACGGTATCGCGAGTGGAAACTTACTTTTCTTGTGTGGTAGTCTACTACGATACTGCGCTTGTATCATGGTAATTGTGCGGTGGATTACTACCTCACAAGTATTGTATAATATCATACTCTCAAGAACCCCACTTCACCTCTGATACGGGCACGGATAAGGATCTAATATGTCCTGCGCAATTACGGTGGCCCTTTAAGTTAGTCTTTCTCATGGGTCCGATACCTCCCGAAAAACTACTGACTACCGGTTATGTCCGGGTACGATACCTTTTCACAGTAGGGGAATGGGTAACATAATACTTCCAAGAGTTGAGCGTAGTAGAGGAATTCCCCGTGAGAATTGTAGCTCTTTTAGCCATTTACCAAGACCTGTAGAAGGGAAGTAAATAGGATACGGTAGGGTTATCGTGGCTTTTGTCTTCAGTGCTAAAGCACCCTATCATACCAGCTTACTTACAGAAGGGGTAGGGTATTCGTGTTACAATTGGACTGGCATGCGGCCGAACTCGACTTGGCCAAAAATTCAATCTAATATATGCGCCGTATCACAACCGGAAAGGAAATCCCCCGGGAGGGATTCCGAGCGGACGGAAGGACGAACGGGAGAATTGACAAGTGCATCTTACAGTAGTAACTGTGTGGTGATGGGGTGGGGAATTTGTGAGGGAGACCAATCTGGAAAATTCAAAGCATATGGTATGATATGATACTATGGACGATCATAACCTGATGGCAAGGAACGTTATGAAAGATTATCACGTTCTGTTTTTGGTCTTTTGGTACGAGTATATTTTACTTTCCGAAAGAGGAAGTTCTTAGCCCAGCCAGCTAGCCAGCCTTGAAAAATTCGATTGCCGGATCGGGTGCTTACTTAGATTGAGTGAAAAAGGTGGGACGGTTTTGGAGTAGTGTGCATGGTTTGATCATCAGTTTTTCCCCGCGATGAGTGTTCCATTATTCTGATAATCGTACGTCCTCAGCTTTGAATATCATGGTTTTCTCTTGGCGTGCCGGAATTTGCTACTATTCACTTTGTCCATCTAGTACGAAGTAATGATACTTATGTACTCGTACTACATCTCATATCAAGATTCTAACCCCCACCCATTCCTAAAAAAAAAAAAAAAAAAAAAAAAAAAAAAAAAAAAAAAAAAACTCCCACAAACCGCAATAAGGTACTATAAAGCATAAAATTTCCCTCCAAGTCGCCATTGCGAACGCAATCTCGGGTTCCCAGAGTCTCGTCGCATCATGTGTTTAGTAAAAGGGTAAATAAAATAAAATAAAATGTCGGGGGATTTTAGGCTATTTGTAGCATGTACATGTACTGTACAGTACTCGAGTACAAGTACAAGCGCAGGTTTACATGTGTCCGGTAGGAGATACCC